TGGGCCACTGGCGGGATCTGGCAGGAAAAAACCCACCTCGGAGGGTGATCGTCTGAGATAAGCCCGGGAGACACCTGCGTTCCCGCTATATTGGGCTCCGTCTGAGGGACCCGGCCCGAAGCTGCCTCTTGTGCCGCACGTCATCATGATGACGATGGTAAGTGTTAATTTGGTAGGGAGCTCCCTCCCCTTGTCAGCTTGTCAGGGAGCTCCCTCCCCTTGTCAGCTTGTCAGGGAGCTCCCTCCCCTTGTCAGCTTGTCAGGGAGCTCCCTCCCCTTGTCAGCTTGTCAGGGAGCTCCCTCCCCTTGTCAGCTTGTCAGGGAGCTCCCTCCCCTTGTCAGCTTGTCAGGGAGCTCCTCCCCTTGTCAGCTTGTCAGGGAGCTCCCTTGTCAGGGAGCTCCCTCCCCTTGTCAGGGAGCTCCCTCCCCTTGTCAGGGAGCTCCCTCCCCTTGTCAGGGAGCTCCCTCCCCTTGTCAGCTTGTCAGGGAGCTCCCTCCCCTTGTCAGGGAGCTCCCTCCCCTTGTCAGGGAGCTCCCTCCCCTTGTCAGGGAGCTCCCTCCCCTTGTCAGGGAGCTCCCTCCCCTTGTCAGGGAGCTCCCTCCCCTTGTCAGGGAGCTCCCTCCCCTTGTCAGGGAGCTCCCTCCCCTTGTCAGGGAGCTCCCTCCCCTTGTCAGCTTGTCAGGGAGCTCCCTCCCCTTGTCAGCTTGTCAGGGAGCTCCCTCCCCTTGTCAGCTTGTCAGGGAGCTCCCTCCCCTTGTCAGCTTGTCAGGGAGCTCCCTCCCCTTGTCAGCTTGTCAGGGAGCTCCCTCCACTTCCCAGTTTGGTGGGTGGTGGTAGTGGGGGTTGACCTGTGTTACATGACCCACGGTTGGGTAGGGGGTTATACATGTTACCCGACCCCTCCCTATTCAGGGATTCTGGAGCGCCCAGGGATCGTTGGGGGGGGGGAGGGAGGGGGGTTGACCTGTTACACGACCCCTCCCTGGCCAAGATAGATGTGATGGTGATTGGGAAAGGGGAGGGGAGGGGGACGTGAGCCACCCTCAATACTACGTTCCTAACACGGTAACGTCAAGAGACGATGTTCATCTGTTACCAAAGGATTGCGAATAAATTCCATTATCAGCATCGCCAAAGCACAGTAGGAGCCGACCGTTGTATGTTCAATGCTCGAGGATAGTGCTCAAGACGAAGTAATAATGTACTGGAAAATTCAATGCCGAGCAAATAGTTATCAGTGCTGATATACAAGGAGATTTCAATGCTTCGGAAAATATATAGTGATCCATGTAATTTTGTTTGTTTTTGAAATTGATGCATATAAAACCAGTTACAACTTGGAAATACAAAAAGCTACCGTTTCTGACAACGTTATTTTATTTTACATCGAAAATAGTCGGTCACACTTTACAATGCTAACCAACAATAGATATTAATTTTCCTCTGTCCTCCATGGACAAGGTGAGAGATCTGTTAAACATATAGTTCAGTGATTTATTGAACAATCAACCACAGAGTGCAGTGTTTTTAACAATGCCAGTCTAACCTACATACATAAATAGATTTATGTCTGTACAGAGATTTACGTCTGTCTTATATAAACAGTTTTCGAGGCCTTTTTTTTTAACATAGCCATTAACGTTCGTTTACAAAAGTGAAATGCAATTTTGACCAGCTTCCGCATATCGTACTCACTCACTCACCCACTCATTTACCTCTCCTACTTTGACAGGGTACGATAGCTGCTATAGAAACTAGTATGTTATTAAGCACTTCACCACTGAAGGTGATTAAGATGCTTTTACAAGCTCAGGTTACAGTTACATCTGTAACGGTAGACGTCTTCCTCCCCGCAGGATGTATGGGCCTACCGATACAACACACCTGCCGAGAGTTAAAATCCACCACCCTACTAAACATTATTCACTTAGTTCACATTTTATAGGCCGACTGCATGGTCACATTTTTCAGTGTTCTTACTAAATGCATGTATAAGACATGTGCATTTTGGCTTGTACCCGACACCTTTAATTTTGTCGTAATCAACACTGCGAAAGATCTTCCTGGTTCACGGTGTTCATCTGGGGTAGTATGGCTAATGCTTTTCCCATAAAACTGGTAAGTTGAGTTATTAGCACCCTCTGAGAGGCATTAATGATGTGCTATGTTAGTGCAACCATCTTGTAATTGTTTGATACTATGTTTGTTTGTTTTTGTAGTGGCGGTGTGTCCTGGCGTCCCATCTCGATGCTTTTCTTCGTATTAGTGCGAGTGTCTACACTATAGGTTAGTAGGAGGGCTGAGACCGAAAGAGAATATGAACGAAGACAATAAAAGAATGTTTGTATTCATTTACCAAAGCATGTTTACCAGCAGTGCTGCAGCAGCAGTGTAAAGTGTGGTGTTGTCACAACAGCAGTAGTGTAAACACGGACACCGCCCTCACAAACACGGCCAGGTTCTTTATCTAAACTGCTGAATAAACTTCATATCCAAACACGTAACAGACCCACTTGATTCTTGGTTGAGTAATAGTGGGGTCTTTACTGTAATGGAGGTTGGGTTAAAATTAAGGGCGAGGGTGTTTGGGTAGTGAGGCTGGGTGGGTATAGAGGGGAAGGTGATCTGCGTTCGTTCCCAGGTACTTTATCAGCTCAAATATTCGACCAGGTACTATATTTTATCGGATCTAGACTTCGACCAGTCCTACGTACATATATTCAGTCGTTTAGTCTTGGAACTGTTGAATGATCGAAGCTGCAAGTGAGACTATTTACCCGCACGATCATTTGAACCCCGACCTTGAGAAACCCAACCCGCTGAGGCCTTGACAAACCCCCCACCAGTTTTGAGCATATTGGACCAAGACGTTGCTCCAGTCACTGTGAACATTGCTACCAAGCTACATGTATCATAACGAATGACTCGACACGTCAGGATATTATTATACATTTAGGTTTACATTACTCCAAGAAGTCTCTGAAGGAGTTAGAAGAAATATAAAAGGCTTATTTGGCAGATAACTCTGCTAATGGTTCAAGAGCTTCTATCATTCTTTGTCGAGGATCCTTCCCGCCTCACCGAGGCACTCCAGTACTCTCCAATCAGTTCAGAGATTTTATCACCAAATAGCTTTGAATTTCAACTGGTCGTTCAGGTGAGAGCATGGTTAATTAGTCCTTCCACGAAAATAAAACCGTCCAGATCATGCCTATTGAATAGCTATAGAATTTCCCGTTCTTTCATGAGGTCGCTGGTGCTTGTAAACACTTTGAACTACCCATATGAACATGCACCGCCGTACGGGTCGGTACTGGGGGTACTGTCAGTACCCCCAGTACCTAGTCCGCTTCGTGAACTATGGTCTGCACTTTGTAAAAATCCCAGCAGAGGACGCCACCAGTCCCAACGAAACGGGAGCAGGAGCCAGGCAGAAGAGGACACTTTCTTACTGATATTATATAACCTGGCGCTATCGAGCAATGATTTAAGAGGCTGCTTGAACCACGCAGCCATTCTTAAATGTTTCCATGAGCCATAACTGCGAGTTTGCATTTTCAAATTGTCATTCGTTCACTTCGTTTTAATAGCAAGTTGCCGAGCTGTTTCCCCGAGGAGTACCTGGGGTCCGTGCCCACTGTGGGCCAGCAGCGTCACAACCCTGGGACGACCCGAGGGGACGGTGTGGGCTGGGCTCGTGGACAGTAACAGCTTGGTAATCGGACCAGGGTCTGGGGCGTGGGGGGCTGACCGACCAGGGTCTGGGGTGTGGGGGGCTGACAGACCAGGGTCTGGGGCGTGGGGGGCTGACCGACCAGGGTCTGGGGCGTGGGGGGCTGACAGACCAGGGTCTGGTCGAGGGGGAGGGGGTGAAGGAATGGTGTTCTTTGCTGAACATCACGACATTAATAAAAGTGTTACCCTTATTTAAACGTTTTATTGATAATTTTTGTTGTAGTAAAGTATTCAATATCTCTAAAGCTGTTTTACAGAAAAGCTTAAGATTTTTTAATTAACGAACCAGAATATGTATAATTACTTAATTAAATTTATATATAATGAAATGTATTTAAATTTCGTAAGTCAATTTTCAGGTTAATTAAATTAATTTCGGCTTCATAAGGAAGAGTGATGTGTACAGAGGTGTACCCCATTTGCTAGTGTAACTATACAGCAAGTATACTAATGTATACTAAAGTATACTTGCTGTAGAGTGAGTGAACTCTTGCGGTGGCCTTAACAACCATCCTGCGGTCGATAGCTGGTTAAGTCCAACATTAAACGAGTCCTAGAAACTTTTCTTTGAACTGACTTTCACTTTAATGCCTCAATGGTTTCTGTAATTAGCTTTTCGTTATTTCTTGTTTATATTAAACTTTATTTTACCAATCGTGAAAAACTAACACTTGAATGAAAAATGTACACCTATATAAAATTGTCAACCCCACACACACACAAAATGTGGATAATAAAATTATATTCACTTGGACCCTATATCTAACTGGGACTTCAATCTGGGTCTTCAGATTAAGCTATTATGGATAATGTGTACTTGCGTAAATGTGTTCACACGGAGTTTCAGCTCCTGGGCTCCGTGCTTATCAGTTGTCTAATGGCCCCAGACCCTTTGTGCTGCTTGTCATATCTACCCTTGCATATACACTTGGTATTAATTAACCTCGACGACTATAAACTCCTTCCACTTGGTCAGTACTCGTCCAGGGAATAAGTCCAAAGTCCTCGTCCATTCATAGTGTGTTCTCACTATCTGCGAATGACACCACCACCTGGCCGACGGGGCCACCCACCACCTGGCCAAAGGGGCCACCAGCTGACCTCTGCTCCTGCACCACCTCCCAGCGTAGTTTACGTAACTGTTCGTGGTTGCAGTTCCGTTTGTAATGCCGTAAACCATTTTTTTTTGTTGCAATAACGAGAAAAAAAAATTGTAATTGTTTGAATGGGGAGAGTAAAAGAGAGAAGTGTATATAGTATGTGATCAAACACACGGCTTGAAGACTGGAGAGTCGGCCACCTCATTCTGCGCGCTCTCATTCTGCGCGCTCTCATTCTGCGCGCTCTCATTCTGCGCGCTCTCATTCTGCGCGCTCTCATTCTGCGCGCTCTCATTCTGCGCGCTCTCATTCTGCGCGCTCTCATTCTGCGGGCTCTCATTCTGCGCGCTCTCATTCTGCGCGCTCTCATTCTGCGCGCTCTCATTCTGCGCGCTCTCATTCTGCGCGCTCTCATTCTGCGGGCTCTCATTCTGCGGGCTCTCATTCTGCGCGCTCTCATTCTGCGCGCTCTCATTCTGCGCGCTCTCACTCCGCGCTCGGATTATCTTATTAACACGTGTAACGGACTATAGCCACTTCCTCCACTTCCTGATGGCGTCCCGCTCCCCCTACGGTGTTTGTCACCATTATTCTTCTATAACCCTACTGGGGAGCCCCGAGGGAGGGAATTATCAGAAAGCGCCAAGCCATTACGACTATGTAGCCATTGGAAAAGGGGTCAGGATAAGGATTTAGGGATGGGACGGTGGGGGGGGGGAAGGAATGGTGCCCAACCACTTGGATGGTCGAGGATTGAATGCCGACCGTCGAACCAACAGTGGACGGCTTCTTGTGTATAATAAGATAACCCCATCAATCCCTGGCAGTATTGACGCATATTGGGCCAGTGATTATCAGCTCCCGTTGGTTAGGGGGTTTGCCTAGGCTCTGGCCCTCTTGGTTAGGGTAAACCTCTGAATTTTTTTTTATTGTGGTAATGGAGAGACCATATTACACACAGAAATCACAATAGCATGATGCATCAAATGAACAAATCCACAAGGGCCGTGACGAGGATTCGAACCTGCGTCCGAGAGCATACCAGATGCTGCCTTAATCGACTGAGCTTGGTTTGTGTCTCGGAGAGGCTGCAGGATCCAAGTAAATTCAGTAGAATTTCTGGTTGCAATTCTTATACCATGTCGTAGCTCAGTCGATTAAGGCAGCGTCTGGGGTGCTCTCGGACGCAGGTTCGAATCCTTGTCACGGCCCCTTGTGGATTTGTTCATATGTACAATATAGTAATATAAAATAATAATAATTTGAGAAAATTCCTGTTTTGAATGAACAGCATGTTAAAATTTATGAATGAGTCTTTGGGGTCGACCGCAGGATGGAATGAACTTGGTCTAAGGACGGGGTGAATTAAGCGACTCCAGCAATCCAACGTCTGCTATGTAATACCGTTAATTTGTTGCACAAGTCAACATCCTTAATTCTAAACCAATACCAGGTATTTTCCGAATGTAAAATTATCCAATATAATAAGCTTCGTAAGGGTGATGAAGTATGACTCTCCGCCTTACTCCATCACTCTTACTCCATCACTATCATCCTCACACTCCTCCCCACCACCTCCCTCCCTCCCCGGTAAGACTTGACGCAATATACTAGACACACTGACGGAGGACGACGAGGAGGAGGAGGAGGAGGTTAGTGTGTGACAAAGTGGTCTGAAGAGACGGGAGTGAAGAGCGTACAAATCTTATTGGTAAGATGTAAAGAACATGAAAGAACATGAGCATGGAGGAGGGGTGGTTGGGGGTAGGTGGTGGATGGGTAGCAGGGGATGGGTGGTGGTGGGGGGGTCACTATTAAATGTTCATTATTGTTGGATGGTGTCAGCCATTTGGGCCGTGTGTGTAATATAGAGACCATAGTGTACCTGTCTTAGTCTCCCAGGACGCTCCTCCTTCATTACTGATGGGTAAGAGCTGGCAGATATATATCATTTGTGTTTCTTCATTTTTATGTAGTGTTACATTAGTTGTCACACGCACGACCGCACGTTATCTAGAAAAGAAAGAAATGTAAATTGTTCAGATCAGATACAAAGTTGTGCTGTGTGTGTGTGTGTGTGTGTGTGTGTGTGTGTGTGTGTGTGTGTGTGTGTGTGTGTGTGTGTGTGTGTGTGTTTTGTACTTTTGTACTTGCCTTTATCTGCTGCAAGTGTTCTCTTGCATAACATCTCCGTTTTTAACGGAGTCGCAAAATTTTGATGGTGTATGTTTGTGTTTAAGTAAAATGCAACGTAATATTGCCATTATCCTAAGCATCGGCTTAGATAGGTACGGTGGGCTGGCTGCTAAGGTTTGAACGTTCTTGCTTAGGCAAAACAATTTCATTTTTTTTCAAAACCGTCATATTGTGAGAACGGGCTGAGGTGTTGACCAGAGTGGATGTCCAAGTACAGTTCCACGCCTGGTGCTGCTCAATTACGGGACATTACGAAATTGGCTTCGCAGCAGTATATGGATCGCACAACCCATATTCATCAGTTTCTGCCACATTGTAAATACTCTTGCATACAGCGTGAATTGGAGAGCAGCAATGTAGCATTGCTGCAGTACAGAAGTGGTGGTGCAAGTAGAGATGCAACCCCAGTTGCAAATATAAGGATTGCAAACAAAAAAAAAAAAAAAAAAAAAAAAAAAAAAAAGAATTTCGCGTGTATGTTGCGGGACACTCACGGGTGTGAGGCGAGCAAAGTCATGACAAGTTGTTGCTTCATTGATCAAAATGGTGAGATTCTTAAGCCACGATGCGGGCTGTCTCAACTTGATTGGTGGTTGTATTTTGTTGGAGCTGGTCTGGTCTGGTCTCTGGGCGGTAAGGAAATTCCACTTGGCGGTGCATTCTGGAAAGATTTGATTACTTCTGTTGTCACAGGTTATCTGGTAGAATTTCCGTGACTGGGTCATTTGAGATAGAAGATAGGAAGGTTGGTACAGCAATTTGGGTGACTGTATAGACGGCGAGGCCACAGTCTGTTGGGGGAGAATGGCTGTTCCCACTGTGAGACATTGTCAGGAAGGCTGACCACTTTATCCTAACATCATCTTCAGCAGGATGTCATACTCTTCAACTTCGGGGTGTTGTAGGATTAAGGAAACCTCAAAAAGATTGAGGTGTCACCTCTGAAAATGTCCTCAGAGTTTCGGACAAGGAACTCGGTAGTCGTACTGTATAATTGATTCTATAAAGTATGATCAATACTAGCATTTCAAAGTAGAGGCACCTACAGGAAGCAAACTGCATAGTCAAGATCAACATCGCCAATTCTCTTACATCCTCTTTGGATTAGTGATTTTCTTTTCAAAGATTTCCTCGATGTCGTTGAGCATGGGAGGATCTGTGGGACTGATTTATGATCGAAACAACATACAATTTCACACTTGGAGGAGGTTTGGAGGGGGGGGGGGGGAAGAGACACCCAAAGTTATTTCTTTGCTCCTGGAATTTTCCTGGTGTCCTCGGAGGTAATCTGTAGACAGTTATTTTACCATCGTCCAAGAATTAGATGCCGAACTTGTTGGTCAGATTAGTTTTTTAATATTAAGAAAGAGGGACAAGGGGAAGATCATCCTGTTGAACACTATCTGAGCTCATTTCGTGACCACCGAGAAGTATAAATGACCAATGTAGCAGGCTTCAGTAAATGTTGAAAAGAGAGGGGAAATGGCGTAGAGAAGCAGGAGCATATTGTGTCGCTTCTGACGAGATTGAAAGCATTTAAAAAAATCCAGGTTGGTAAAAGCCTCTTGATATGAAATATTGGCAACATAGGCTCGTTCCGCATAGACAGCTGCTTCACAATCTTGCAGAACCCACAAGCAAGCAGATTTGTTTTAACAAGTTGGTCGCTTCGTCTGACTGTTCTCGTGGGAGCCTGAGCAATACAGCTTCAGGGGAAAGGGGGGGGGGGAAGCGAGTGTTGCAACATAGATTGCTTTGATTTCTCAATCCTTTCGGTTGAGTTGATAGAGGGAAACACTGACAAAGAAGAGACTGATGATCTCGGGGATGCCGCCGGCCATACGTGTTGACGACTCTCCAGAGATTCATCAGGGGAACCTTCCTTAGCATCACAAGAGTGTGGGGCTGAGGCTAATGGGCTTTGGTCTTAGTCCTGTAAACCCGCCTGCTGACCCAACTGAAAGATATAAAATGTCGCTTTATGAACCCGAGATTTGCTAACGATTAATGGGTCTGATCTGGTGTCGTTGGCTACTGGTATAATATTGTTGTCGAGGGGTTCTAGGTGGGTCTCTTGGTGCGGCAGTTTCTCTAGGAGCATCTTTGTCCTTGCTGGTGATGTCTTAAATTGCACCTCCAGTATAACCCTATATTTTCTTGGTGATTTGTGCTCTAATTTAGGAGTTTCGGATTATCTGGCGCAGATGTTTTTTCACTCGCGGTTTGGTGTAAGCGGACTTTAATAGTCGTCTATTGCCCTAATGACTGAGAACGCTAGTTGTGTATCTGCCTTGAGGCACGGCCAAGACATGTATTGTCTAACAGCAGGAGATTACGCCATGCTTGAATGATTACTACGGCGTCATTGTCCTTTTTCAGCAGATTATCGAGCTTGGCTCCTGCTTGGAGGCGGACTACTGCTTGGTACATGCGACGAGGATCCAGCGGTGACTGCTTGGGTGAGGTTTGCAGATATGAAGCTAATAAGAAATTTTTCTCTACTGCTGAAGTAAGGAGACTGTTACTCCGCTGCGGCGGGCGGTGGGAACCTGGACCTCGAGGCATCAAGTAGTTACACAAGAGCTTGTACATTTTTTATTTCTTTCTACTTTGGCGACTTTGCTTAAATATATTACTGTACGAGCCCCGAACCACCAGGAGACTGTTTATAACAACACTTGACTGGGAAGTTTCGATGCTGGGAAACTGTTTAATTTGTTTACTATAATCTGTAAACAAAGCCGCCAAAGATTGAGAAGTGTACAGGTTTTTTTAAGTAGGTGTGTGAATACTTGTTCAATCCACGTACTAGGCATTTAGCGGAGTGGATGGTGTATAAGCGAGCACTATCTTTACTGTTGACACAAGTGCTGATCACACACTAGACCTGCACCTCTCCCAGGAGTGACTGGGCCTCTCCAGGCACCTTCACTACCTCTGGAAACACCAAACTGTGCATAATTTATCAGCTTTAACACAGTTGCGTTTTGACATAGTCACAAGGTATGACACCGAGGGTTGACATTAATGTGAGGCTTCCTCCCCCCACGCACTTATCTCCTACGGGAGTACCTAAGCAACAGGAAACGGCGAGTAACTGTGATGGGGGGAGACATCAGAGTGGCGAGATGTCACCAGCGGAGTCCCACAGGGCTCTGTACTTGGACCCATCCTGTTTCTAATATATGTAAACAATCTTCCAGAGGGTATTGACTCATTCCTCTCGATGTTTGCTGATGATGCAAAAATTGAGAAGAATAAAGACAGATGAAGATAGACAGAGACTACAGGACGACCTGGAGAAACTGGAGGAATGGTCTAGGAAATGGCTACTAAAGTTGAACTCGGGAAAGTGTAAATTAATGAAATTAGGCGAAGGGAGCAGGCTGAACACAAGGTACCATCCCGGAGGTGAAATCCTGCAAGAGTCAAATAGAAAGATCTGGGGGCTGATTTCACACCGAACCTGTCCCCAGAAGTCCACATAAAAAGGATCAGCGGCATATGCTAGATTGGTCAACATAAGAGCTGCCTTTAGAAACTTGCGTAAGGAATCGTTCAGGACCTTGATCTGAACGACACTTATGTCAGACCAATCCTGGAGTATGCAGCTCCAGCCTGGAGTCCATACCTAGTTAAACACGACAAAGTTAGAGAAGATTCAGAGGTATGCCACCAGACTAGACGAAGAACTGAGAGGTATGAGCTACGAGGTAAGGTTACGGGAGCTAAACCTCGTGTCCCAACGACACGAAGAGTAAGGGGAGACATGATAACCACCTACAAAATTCTCAGGGGACTTGACAGGGTGGACAAAGTCAAACTATTTAGCACGGGTGGAATACAAACCAGGGGGGGGGACAGTGTAAACTTAGTACCCAAATGAGCTACAGAGACAGTAACAAGATTTTTTTCAGTGTCAGAGTAGTTAACATATGGAATGCATTAGGGAGTGTGGTGGAGGCAGACTCCATACGCAGTTTCAAATGTAGATTTGATAGAACCCAATAGGCTCTAGAATCTGTACACGAATTGATTGACAGTTGAGGCGGGACCAAAGAGCCAAAGCTCGACTCCCACAAGCACAACTAGACGAGTACATCTAGGCGAGTACATCACCAGCAAGCCGCCTCCAGCAAGAAAGTGTGACAAACGCTGTAATTTTCTTCAGAGATGATGCTGGAAAATGTGTAAAAATTGCTGGAACTGTTCTTATGGAGCGACGCGTCTTGCAAAAGTGAAAGGCGAAGGATGTCTGCTGAGGAAAATATTGTTCATTATGAATGAATAGGTGTATTCATATATGTAAGAATTTTTCACATTATAAGTTTTAATGCAGACGATGAGTCACAATAACGTGGCTAAAGTATGTTGACCAGACCACACACTAGAAGGGACTACGACGTTTCGGTCCGTCCTGGACCATTCTCAAGTCGATGAACTTGAGAATGGTCCAGGACGGACCAAAACGTCGTAGTCCCTTCTCCTTCTAGTGTGTGGTCTGGTCAACATAAGTTTTAATCTGTGTATATTAAAATATTTAAGTAAGAAGAATTCATTTTGTCTTAAAACTGACGAGGAATCAAAGCAAACGGACGGAGAAGCAAATCTTGGAGCTTAGTGGCGTCATCCTTATGCAAAGTTTGCTTCTAGCAAACACCCGTTGACGGTCTTGAACCCCCTGATCTTTGCGGCTTATTGACTGACCATTGGGCAGGTGGGGGTGCCTGCTTATGGTAGGTTGGGAGTGGCTGCTTTTATGGCATGGTTGGTAATGGGCGGCTGTTGTGGTGCTTGGGGCAGTGTCAGGGTGGTGGTGGTGCTTGGGCAGTGTCAGGGTGGTGGTGGTGCTTGGGCAGTGTCAGGGTGGTGGTGGTGCTTGGGCAGTGTCAGGGTGGTGGTGGTGCTTGGGCAGTGTCAGGGTGGTGGTGGTGGTGCTTGGGGCAGTGTCAGGGTGGTGGTGGTGGTGCTTGGGCAGTGTCAGGGTGGTGGTGGTGGTGCTTGGGCAGTGTCAGGGTGGTGGTGGTGGTGCTTGGGCAGTGTCAGGGTGGTGGTGCTTGGGGCAGTGTCAGGGTGGTGGTGCTTGGGGCAGTGTCAGGGTGGTGGTGGTGCTTGGGCAGTGTCATGGGGGAGGGGTGACGCTTGGATATTGTCATGTTGTTGCTAGTGATACATACATACATACATACATACATACATACATACATACATACATACATACATACATACATACATACACACACACACGTGTGTGTGTGTGTGTGTGTTTGTATGTATGTGTGTATGCATGCATTCGCGTAATTGTTATTTAATTGTTCTTGCAGGATCAAGCTTCAGTTCTTGGACCTCGTCATTCATGTCGTCACCTAGTGCAGAGACTGAAGACTCGCCGTTTTAAAAACAAATCACGTTCAAATCTATGGATTGAATTGGATTCTACTACCTCTTATGATGAGGAATCTAGATGGAATTTAGACTTTCTGCTACAGTTATCGGATCGGATTAATCGAATTGTTATGGTTATGCGGGTTACAGCCTCTTCGACCAGGCAATGTTACAATGAAGCCTGGTTAAATATATATTTCCCTTTCATCTCTAGGTTATGGCTCATCTGAGTGACTGGCATATACGCTCCAGAAGAACAAAAGGTTATGGATATAAGCTAAACATTTCACTCCACATCAAGTTTTCAGTTCACCTGAGGATCTTATAGGTCGCTAACATATCTCCTCGTTCTCGTTTTATTCGAATTTGATAAGATAAGACTCCCTGATTTTTGTTGACTTTCCATATGCTGATGACGTGTTCCTGAAGGGGTTAGTCTTGACGTTATTTCTGATCCTTCTCAGATTTCGGGAACTTCTCATCTCACACTCTACTGGCTTTGTGGCCTCACTTCTTCGGCCATTCTCATTACCTTGCACGTCTTTGGGTTGAAGTCGATTAGCCATACTGCAAAGCAGTCTCCTATAAGTTTGTCTAGGGGTGTGCACGCGCCCGCTCAACCCATAACTAAATATAGCTTGCCGTATTTTGCTTCAGCTCATGGGCCCCACCTCAGCAGTTTGCCTTAAAAACCGGGAGGCATGTCATTGTGTTGGATGAGTGGGGAGGGGGGGGGGGGGTGTTACCTGTCGAGTGTGAACACGCGCGTGCAATGTATGGTGTCACCCTCGCCTTCCTGGTCATAATCATGCACCGCTGCACAACGTGAAAGTGAGATTTCGGTGAAGGTGAAAGCCTGTCAACAGCCAGCTAGATTAGGCTACTGAAGATGGCGAGAGACAGAGGAAAAGGAAAGATATTTTCTTTATCATAACCTTAGATCTGATTTTTTTTAACCTCCTAGAGAGGTGGTCATCACGTTAACGTCACGCCTCGTGGAACCTGAGGGTTTGTTGTAGAAATTCTAGTTCTTATGCATTAAAAAAAAGCCTAATAGTGCATTCGAAAATCAAACGCAATTTACATGTGAATGAAGCATTTTGGTGTTTAAATAACAAACAGGTTCTCGTAATTTACGCAGCCAGAAGTGGCCACCGTTTCGACCATTTCTGGCCGGTTACCTGCTGTATACAGTCCGAATTTCTAGGACCCAAAACCTGTATCGGGCTGAACATTGTGACGTCATAGTTACGTCACGGCCCGTTCACACCATGTATAAAACATGACACACTCGTCTCGTCAGGGAAGACTGGGTTGAGGTTTGTGTAATGATGACGTAGAAGGGATACATGTTTTTTCCGCAGGTCTTGGGGCCAGATTCACGAAGCAGTTACGCAAGCACTTAAGAACCTGTACATTTTTTCTCAAATCTTTGGCGACTTTGTTTACAATTTTTATACAGTTAATGAGCTCCGAAGCACCAGGAGGCTGTTTATAACAATAACAACAGTTGATTGGGAAGTTTTCATGCTTGTAAATTGTTTAATAAATGAACCAAAGGCGTCAAATATTGAGGAAAGATGAACAGGTTCGTAAGTACTTGCGTAACTGCTTCGTGAATCTGGCCGTTGGACTCTGTAAAAGAGTCTAAAGGACTACAGTGGCCAACAGCATCATAAACTGCACACCTTGTTCTTTCCACCGAGCTATTGAGTA